CTAAAAGCTATGACAAGAGAGGCCATCGGGGCTTTTAAGAAGGTCTACAAAGAGCTATACTTAAGTTTGGAGAGACATTTGGAAGGAATGAAGGGTATGTGTTTTAAATACCACTTTCTCTTTATTGGCGCAGTCGCCTTTAATGTCTTTGGAAATAAACTCACCACAATGGCTTGCTACGTTGCTATACCTTCTGTAGTATATTTATGACAACAATCCACATGTTCAAATTAGAGCTAAAATTGAGTTTTTTCCCACAGCCTTTCTGGTTTCGTGTGATTGTTTACCTGAGCTCCAGAGAACTTCGTGCCTGGTCCGTGTTACTTCGTCACTACAATTAGTTGCCCGCCTTTGTGAAACAGAATTTCCTTGTCAATTTATGACTAGGTTCTTTTTCAATCACTCTGATAAGACACGGAAATAATTTTTATCCTGGGGTTCTGAATCAAAGTTTCCAACGTAATGTGGGAATGAATCACTTTCCTAGGGGAATTAATTCGCCGAGAATATATCCCAGACCCGACGAGGTGGTAAGCCATTGAGCCATGTAACCCTATTAGATGGCTTTGACATGTCCAATAAATTTAGATAACTCTATTTTTGTAGATTAACAATGATATGTATGGTGTTTATAAATGATATTGTCGGTGTTCCACTTTGACATCTTTTTACTATACTTTATATTTTCAGAAACTCCAGAAACATGTCCTGAATCGTAAACTCCTTAAAGGAGAATATATTTATTGAAAACGAAATTCTACTGTGGCAACCTTCACTGGATTTCTCTTGCAGGAAAGTATTATGCTCGCTCTAAAAAATATTGAAATGCAACACAATCAATTTTTTAGCCTGTTATCCACACCGGCTTCTTTTCCTTGATCGATTGGTAAAGAGTGATTTTCGTTTTCTCTTGGCATTCTACACTTCTTCGCAAGATGTGTCAAATAGCGTCGTCCTCCTAAAGGTTTACCACTTTCATTGTCGTTTTCACCGTGGTTGAGAGGTGTTCCTAGGTGTCGGATTGCGATGTGCAGCCTGGGATACATCCTCATAGCAGGGCCTGGCAAGCTAAGAAGGAGCTCTGCCTTTCCATCTGGAAGCCTATCTAAAAGTAAACCAATACCAGGATCCACCACCGTCCTGCTATCAAACTAATCGCTTGGTGGCAAATCTCTCTTTGATTCACAATGGCGGCGACAGCCTGTTATGACGACGACCTGGCGTGGGATTTGGCCTTGCTGACCTTGGGATTCCAGGGAACCACAGTGGTTAAATCATGAAAACTCTCAAAAAATTTAAATTATGCTGAGGTCTACAAGACCAACGAAGACGGGTCATCCAAGTATCCAAGGAAGTGATAAACTGGTATTATTTATTGAATGCATAACAATGACGGCGATCAGTGAGGTTTCAGTGAGGTGCGACACTCGTGAACTATCGTATTCTCTCCAATATTTCTGGTCAGCTGAACACGATGATGACATAGGCGATTGGGAAAAGTTTTTCTAGATTTATTCATTCATTCATTGTTTATTTATAGAACTTGTTATTGACTATTGTACAGATTCAATCAATTCGTTCACTCGGTTTGCTGCTTTTATCCATCGTTCATGAGGATCTTCGAATTTAGGGGTTTGTTCGATTGCTACTAGTAGATTTCGTTTTTTTTCATGAATGTCGTTGAGTATTAAACAAGAGTAGTTTTTTACCGAATTCCAGAATAACCTTTGTACACAGGGCTCTCAGGTCTTTAAGCGTATCGTCAATTTGCCAGAACTCTTCCCAGAAAAGTCTGGACAGCGAGAAGAATGAAAAGCTTGGCTGACTTGGTTCGCGGACTAACCAATGGAGACAGTTCTTGAGCTACACTGTTCCTTTAACCACTTAGCATCTGGCGCTTCTTTATAAATCACAAAATAAATCGTTCGATGATGATCAATCTCTTAGGGATGCGTCATGCATTCAACATCTTCAAGCATCGTTAGGAATAATAACTATATATTTGACTGAAACAATAATATGCAGTGGGCTACCGATGTAGAAGTACAGTTCTGGTATCTTCGCAGGTAAGTCTGGTAACTAATTTGCAGACTCCGGATAGATGGAAGGCATGCTGAACCCTAGGGTGGGAAAACGAATCAACCACTGTTGTTCGCAGGGTATCTCTAACCACTGCGCTATACGTGCTCACTTTCAGAGAATGGAAATCAAATACATCTAAATATGAAGCCGTGTCCCCGCTTGCACTAAAGCGATTTGTCATCATGTTTCCACGATTCCAGAAATTTCATATGTCTGTACGGCTTAATTGCCGTTCATATATCACAATCGGTTGGGTTGACAAGCCTCTAAGGCCCCCACCACACCATCGCCATCATCATCGTTGTCACCAGTGTACACGCCATTCTGTCTGCTTTGGCACACACCTGCTCTCTTGGGACAGAGCGTTGTCGGAGTTTTTTTTCTTAGTTGCCGTCTTACGCACTCAAAAACTCTCTGCGTCCTCAAATCATCCGTCGAAACGACACGCGTATACGAGTCGTTTCGCGGTGAGTGTAGTAGAGGTAAAAAAATGGAAAACCGTTTTACCGTAACTCTTATGAGAATGACATCGGTTAGGAGCTCAGTCTTGAAGTGGGAATTTGTTAGTTGAATTGTTTATTCGAAAAGTACATTAACTGCACCATATTTACTTTGAAATGGTGTTGTAGAACTGCTAGACAGAATGCTGGAGCGAATCGTACTAAACAAGAATCGTAGCTCCCATATCGCTCCTTGTTGAATTTCATGAAAGTATTCTGTTATAGCCTAATTGGGTTATCGATTGGTTCTAGCGACTGCAAACAAAACATTTTATTGGAAGACCTCTTTGAACGTATCTTTTATGAAAATACGGTAATGCTAAATTGGAAAGAAAACTGTAACACGTTCCACAGTAGGCATTCCATGTAGACTGTTAGGCAATTCACTATATCAAACGTTCCAATAACACGTACAGGAGGACGAAGATGTAAATCGCAATCACACGATCAACAGTTTCTCGAGAAACCTCCATGTAGAGCTAAAATTTTTCTGATCCCAGTAAAAAAAGCGACTATTAATGAGAGCGGTTAGTGCGCTATCCAGTATGAACGCCACTGCAGAGCAGCATTTGGTTTATTCTGTACAATCCTTTTATATAAAAATAAATTAATCAAATTTTAGCTGTTTTTAACCTTATAAGAGCTAATAATGGATAGTGATAATGGATGATCGGCGGATAAGCCATCTCTTTTACGAATGAAACTTTTTTTGACCTATGAACTGCAAAAGCAAAGCAATCAAATTGGATAGAAAGCCAGAATGCTTCATACGGGTACTGATAATGATAGGATTGAGGTTGTTGGAAAAAGCCAATTGCAGTAAACGCTGCAACGCATTAAATGTGATATTACTTGGATGGCCCGTCCTCACTGGCTGTGCGGGCCATAGCAAAATTTCCACTTTTCGGACTTTAGCTGGATTAGCTTTTATGGTTCCATGAAATCCTGAAGTGAGCCTGGTCAAAGTCTGGCTCAGGTCGTCACCACATTAGGCAGTCGCCGCCGTTGCAGATCACAGGGAGATCTGCCACCGTGCGCTTAGTCCGATATCAGGAAGGTGGTGGCTTCCTGGTATTGGTTTATTCTTAGCAGGGCTTCCTGATAGGAACGCTGAACTTCTTTTCTGCTTAGGAGACCCTATCGTTGGGGTGAATCTTCCCGCTATACATCACAGCCCGATACCCAGGAACACGTTCAAGCCACGACGAGACGGTAACCAGTTGGGAAGAAGTGTAATATTATATAAATGTAATATAGTGCATATTGATGAAAGGTAACAATTGCCTTATTTTTTAGCTGCCAGTCACTCAATCGATTGCTTAGATCAGTTTTTCTTAGTTGGTTTTTTCTCGTTAAAAAACAAAAACTCTACCTGAATCGCATTGGAACAGAAAACTGTAAGAATGGCTCAGTGCTTTAAAGAACTGATGGCAAAGAGCCGCATTGAAAAGTTTTTCACTTTGGAAATAAAATATTAATTTAGCCGAGTGCAAAACAGAGAACATAAAATAGCGTCCATTGTCAAATGCAACATAATGCATTCTTTGCGTATCGATTGATCAGTAGATTTCTTGTCGTGTAGACATGCGCAACATTCATGGTAATACAGCTTTTGGCCATTAATTTAAGCGCTATTTTTCTGAATAAAGGTAATATGCCATTTAACGTTTTAGTCGTTAGAGTTTAGTTTAGTTGATTGTGACCTTTGTTTTCTGGTCGATTTTCGAAATTGACAAGAAAATCGCCTCAAATGGTGGCTTTGGACAAGGACGAACGCCCATATTTCGATACTAAATGCATTTGCTTTCTTCTGTTGTTTTAGTACAAGTACTAGAGATTGCTGCTTTGACATTAAAGCGATGGCTCGTTTTATTCGTTTAAATTCTGACTTCAAGTGACTGAGAGCTGAAGACCACAGTAGGATAATGAACATTTTACACCTAAATCTTACTTATTATAAATTTCGCTATTTAGAATGAAGAGAATTTATGGGCTTTGTAACAGAGACTTAGTAGTTGGTGATGAGAGGAATACTCGTCCACTACACCCTGCTCATTCTATTCAACTCGTCCGCATGTCCGTTCTACTTTCACTCATTTCTTATCTTGCTGTAATCAATATGAACGCAATCGATCCGTACAGTATACAAATGTCAACAATCACATGACTTTGGCTAAAACTCAGTATGAATTTAATGTCCGATCGATAAAACTCATAATTCAATGGATTTTCCCTGTATCAGTGAACACTTTGCTGGATCAGCTATTCTTCTGCCGAAAACATCGTACGAAGCACGTAATGATTTCATTTTCGCCACCATTCACACAATGTGGTTATAAATTTCGAGTGATTTCGACAACGAGAACAAGAAAAAAAAATTGGGAAGAAACGACAGCAATCATCCACTGCTCAACAGCTCTACGACGTACCGGCCAGCTGTTCAGCGGAGTGAAATATGCTGCGATTGCGTTGAATATTATCCAACGCGACTTTCAACGATTTTGATGGACGAGTTCGTTGTTGTGGTGGAATGATTGGCGTTTGGATGATGTCGTTATGTGAATAACCACGTAACTCTTCCCGTAGAAGACCACGAATCTCACGTCGTGTAATGGTAGCTGGAAGCGCGACGCTATAGGCCGATACAGGTGATGCTGGCCTAGAAGGACCACGGTAATGTCATCGAAGGCAATTCATCCGAATGTTCTTAGCACACAAGTAGTTTTTCCAACTTCTTGAAAAAGTTTTGAAAATTTGGTCATATGAGGTTTACACTATTAATTCAAGCCAGTGAAAAGTGAATCGTAAAAAAGTTGTTTACTGAAGAATGTGTAACCACATAAAGCAGGATAAAGCAATGGTTTTCTTTAGATAATCTGGTAAACTTTCCTAAATAGCTACCCTTGTGAAAACCAGAAAGAACCTAAATGAGCAGAGTGGTCTAAAGCCTAAATAAGTGATTAAACATTCCTCTAAATAATGAAATAATTTTTCCAGAGTCGAATCGACTTTGAAAATAAATGGTCTGTCTGGTAATTTTTCCCTTTGTCGTGGTTGGGAATGTTCCTATGTTTCAAACTCCATTCTGTAATGCGCGGCGCATTAAACTCTTAGCAGGGTCACCCGCATTTTGTATCTAATTGGGAAGACTAACTAGTAGAAGTCTCGCAGTAACCCTGGTTATCCATTGTTAAAAAAAGGTGAGGAGTATAAGCCTCATACACAAAAGGTATGCGGCTCTTCTTATTCCTCACGCCTCACGAGACAATTGTACTGCTTTTGTGTTTGACAGGAAAGAATGGAGGCCTTACTGGTGGCCCAATAAAATCGCACCATGATTTCTGAGCTCACTTGTGATGCAAATGATTTAAGCTGTGTTCATTTGTTTGGATATTTGTTTGGATGCTTCTAAGCTTCAGTGGTGCTCAATTTTACCAATTGTTGTAAAGAACGAGGTGCCGATTTCCATATCGGTCCATGAACGTACGGATAGTAACCGAACTGCCTCAATACACTATTAGTTTTTAAAATTACACCTTCAAAATGTAACAAAAAAGGAGAAGTGCCAAGCAAAGACACCCACGCACTCGTGAAGTGAACAGCTATGTGCAGAAAGCGTCGGAGGCAGTTTCACCGTCACTGGAGATTGGTGACTTTCTAAACATCTAATCAATGTTGTTATTTTTCAACTGTTGTGGAAATTTGTCACCTTATCTCAGTTTTCTTTTGCAGAAGAATTATAAACGAAGATGAGAGGTTTTCCGGCGGAGATGTTACCGATATAAATAGTAAAAGGAAAATGAAGACTTATGGTAATGTCAAAAATATTTCTATTATTGCAAGGATATCGATCTGGTTAACTTAGAAACTACGTTAAAATAAAGCAGTTGAACATGAGGCCACATCGCCTTATAGGAACAGTGACTTCCTAACTCTTTCTACTGCGGCAGATCGATATATAACTTCTGTAGCTAAGCGTAGAAATATTGGCACTGCAGATGCAACTGCTCCAAGGAATCACGAGACTGTACTTAAGCCACTGGGCAGCACATTAGAGGCTGCTTTTGATTACCTTCAATTATTACACCTGAAATCCAGGTAATGGAGGTTACCCTATTGTTAATGACTGCAACAGAAGTGGTTTATATAAAATTTTTTCTAGATCTCTCGAGAAAGTTGCACTTACTGGCCAGGTCAGATGCGCAAAAGGAACAAGCGGAGAACTTAGTGCTACTGGATCTGGTCACTCGATGACTAGCTGGATTAATATTAGGTAAGCGAAAATTCAAATAGAAAAATACTGATCATGCGAGGGTAATGGCAAGAAGCGGCTAGATAAGAATTTGTCTTCCGTATAAGAAAGTGGAAACTCTCTTAGCGCCTTTAATGCTGCTAAGGAACCACAGTCCTTACGCATACTCTTTACACCTCGTGCATTCGGTAACTTTTTGTTTAAGCCTCAAGAAACTCCAATTTTATATTAAAGAAATGAACTAAATCTTCAATGACTATGATTCTGAGAATCGTGAATGAAATCACAGCTTCGTACGGACGTTTTATATTACAGTATAAGGAATTATTATTAAAATAATTCAAATGCAAGGCTGGGAAAAGAGTTTAGAAGATTTACGACATTTGGAAACGAGAATCTGTAGAAACTGTTTAAATCTTAAAGGCCTTAATATTACGCAATTTCGATCATAGAAAAAGACCTCCTTAAATCAAAACAATATAAAAATTAGGGTAGGGCGAAGACGTTTGTTGCACCAAAATGTGGTATTTGAAGTGATTAAAAAAAATAGAAGACAATCGAAAACTAGATGGAGAATAAAGAACTTTTATTTACGAGTGAAGCCACGTGAAGCTTGAATACGATTAACCTTCAGACGTGAAAATTATGGAAGTGCAGAAAAGTCTAGGTAGTAGTCGAGCTGCGTTAAACAGAACACTATAGAGACGTGCAATTGAAAATGTAAAAAATCGGGATTTACTGACCCAAGTGGTATTTCCGTACAAACAAACTGTGGGACCATCTTTCACCCCTCGGAAATATTTCTTGCACAACAGCAATGACGAAAAAAAAGGAATTCTGAAAATGAAACACATAAAAAGTTAGAATAAATTCATCAGAGTTTCGATTAGACCAGAAGTAAACACTTTTATCTCCACCTTGCTAGTCATTCCTATTTAAGCTCTAGAAAATTGCCCGTTTACAGTAATCTTTGTCAAGATAATTGTATATAAGTCTTCCGTCGTATAATTCGAGACAATTTATGGGCGCTTCAAAGCACTTCTGTGGACGAGTGCCACCTACCGTAATCCTCGTTCATCATAGAGGTTTCTCTTATGGGACCCTACTCACACGCACAGATTCACACACACCACACACACACACACACACACACAAACACACGCAAATACATAAATATGCATGTACGCATGCAGATGCATGCAGATACAGAAATGCACATACATAAATGAATGCGCAATTTTCAGTGCTCGTTGAACGTTCTGCATTGATTCCAATGCTGGTTAATTGAATAGAGTGCAAACATGGGTTAATTTTTCGATGCTATATGCCAGTACTTACTAACTTTATTAGCAATAAGGCGGAAGTTTTATGCGACCAAAGCATTCGCTGCAACTGCCACTTTTTCAAGCAGGCAGCTCGGCTTGGCTTGGATCGGAATCTCTTGCGGTGCCGATTCTTTTCGCCATAATTTAGCACCTTCGTCGTTAGCGCGCTAGGAAAATACCCTCAATAAATTTCTAGTGTCTGAGGTTTTTCTAAAAGTAAAAATGAGCAAGGAGTTTCTAGCAATCGATCATTCTGTTTCTCTTTCATTTTACTCAATATCGCTACTATTTACTCTCAACTCATTAGCATGTTCCATAACTATCTTTGAATGAACAAAGAATATCTGCTAACGAAAACGCTGTAGTACAGAGCGCATAAGATACTGCACAGATCATCGAAAATTTTATTAATAATAAGGGATTTTGTGTAACATTACAGTAAGGAAATTCGCACTTAACTCCTAAGATTTGTTGTGGATAAACTAGTTTGCTTTCTTATAAGAAATCATCTTAGTCACAGAACCCTTTTACTAGTAGTTTATAAGTGGGAAACAATTGAAGTGTTAGCTAAAAGAACACCAGTTTTCCTTCTCATGCGTCTTTTTTCCTTGTTTTTTTCCTATTTATTTTCTTCACCTCTACATTTTGTCGTTGGCCTTCAGTTGGGCTTTGTTATCAGCGAATTTCGCATTTAAATTCCGAACATCTTTGCGATTTTGCTTCTTGGTACTCGCGCTGATGGCGAACATCATCACGTACTCGTTACTGTTCGCCTACTGTGGCTGCAGGCTGTTTCGTGGTTGTTTAATTGAATTCGGCTACGAAAAGAAGAAAATCGAATCGACGACGATGTTGGATTTTTCGAGGAACAGCGGTTGTATGAAAGAAGTAAATGACGGCCGAGAGTGAATTATGACGAGATAGATAAGTGGTTATAGATAGAAAGTTTCTTTGATCACTTCGGCGATAAACGAATGACGAACACCCCACTGCGGTTAAATCGTGGGTGCTATTTCAGGTATGAACTCCGTCATCATCAGTCACTATTGAATATCAACTGGCAACTTTCTTCCTCTCATAGTCGAATATTCGATAGGTTCGAATTAAGTCGAATAATCGACAGTGGTTGGCTCATTTGACTAATAGCATCACTTAAGTGATAGCGAATATGTGATAAAAATGTGTGTCCTCCTAATGAGTGTAAATATCCCGCTGTGTTGTCCTGCGTAGATGATTTTTTCACGATATTTAAATATTCTACAGTGCTTCTGATGATGACACAAAAAAGTTTTAGTTGGGATTCCAAAAACAAAACACGGTGAATATTTTAGGACAATTGTTGTTAGATTTTTCTTCGTCACTTATTCGTGACGCCTCTAGCAATTGTATTAATTGAGCAAAGTCTCCACCAACAGAAACGCCTCCACTTAGCTTTTCGTTCACCAACTCAAAACGAACCTCATTTTTTCGAAAGACAAAGAAAAGATTTTATATTTTTCGTTCAGTTTTTATTCTTCTACTGTGGTTCGGGGAAGACTATCCACTCAAGGCTGGCTGGGTCCTGCCGTCGAGGGTGAGTATATGGGGCTTAACTGGTGGATCCCCTCAGGTATGAAGCGTATTTGTCGGAAGCGACCTTGTACAGCATCCCGTATAGTTCTGGCCGTTTGTTCGAATATTTTTAGTCACACTCACTATGATCTTTAGATGCTCCCTGGAAAATGATATAACCAGAAAAGCAGTGAAGATGCAAAATGCAAATATTGATAAAACTGGACTACAATTACTAAAATTAAAGCACAACTAGATTTTTCTAAAGCTCTTTCACGCTTCTTACACGAAGGTTTCTCTCCCATGAAATGTCCACATGAAGCAGTTTCTGCACGAGAATGGAAATGTCATTGAACAATATTCGAATAGAAGAAAAAAAAGAGAAAAAAAAGAAATGCTTCGTTTATAAACGAGCTAAAATTTTTTTCTTCACATTTAATAACCATGTTTGCTTTTCTTAGAAGTTCTTCCTTCCAGAATTAGAAAGAAATGGAAGAAGGAAAAACCAACCGTTAACAATCTCCAAAGACATTAACAAAGACTACATAACTTAACACTATCACTTTAGGTAAGAAATCCTTGAACAAAAAGTTCGTCATCGAATTGACTCTGTTTATAATGTTAATTTTCTATTTCCTGCCTACCATAATTTTTGACGCCAGGATAATTTGTGAAATGCAGCCACAATGAGGCTAGGATATTCGCAAAACTTAAACCCTAGTCCAGATCGAACCACAATTACCCTTTCCGGAGCCTCGCGTATTATGCACTGTACCAAGGACACTCCTGCTCTGCGTTTCTCTCAGTTAGCTTTCTTCCTAGCTATCTATGTTCATGATGTTATAAGTTAAGTACAAACGTATAAAAAATACAAATACCAGATCTTTTTTGACCTTGCGTGGGAAGCTAAAATTGGGCTATTTTTGAATTTCACGGTAGTTCCATTGCCATTCTTTCTGTGTATTTTGTACCACTATTGTTCTTGAAGAAAAGTTACTTCCTCATAAAGCAAATAAAAAATAATTGCTACGATTAATTAAATACAAATAAACTTAACCCTTTTATTTACTTCCTTTTTCTTTTTAATCGCATGGTTTGTTGCGAAATATAACTTGTATACAATGCTGAGATATTTGCAAAACTCCAGACCGCAGCCGTATGCGATGGGGAACGAACGCGCTCTATTGCTCTTACCGGGCAGTAGCGCACTTCACCACCGCACCATCCGGGTTATATACGAGTTAAACACAAATAGTTTCTGCTGAATTTTTGAAGCAGATTATTTTGCAGTTGTAGACGTCGAATATTATCTTATAGCTAGCAGAATTCAAAAATGGTTTCGTAACCAACAAATTTGGAAAATTTTGAAGGATTTTGGCCTTCATTAGTATTCGGCAACCTCCAAGCAACACACCGAATTTTCAAAACTTCCAGAAACTACTTTCCACTAATATTACTTAAAAAATCAATTTCTCATTGATTTTTGGCTGATCGATTAAAATGCCAGCCGCGTTATGAACTCGGTAGAATAAAATTCAATCCACCAAGTTTAAAAGAGCAAGAAAAGCGCTAAATTGCAGTAGCGACCTAACGGTTTAGCAAGTGTTTCATTTAACAGCTGAAAATCTCATCACCACAAGACTTTGCACTAATATTTGCTGAACTTAATTGGGGTTTGTCACCATGAATGACAATTTAATTACCCAATCTTTTAAGGCTATTTAGAAATCTTTATTTTGCCTAAGGCCGTCTATTTTCTAACCGAATTCTCAAGTTTCTATTCTAAGAGGACGATTTTTTTGACTTAAGAAGAGATAAGAACTAGAACGAAGAATGAGTTGATTTGACTTCATTTTTAAGTAGTTAAGCAAGCAAGAGAGGAAATAGATAATTTTTAGAAGTCTACAGGTTCATCATTATCGTCGCATTTCAAAAAATTCTTAATAGTCTTCTCGAATCCATTGCAGAAGAAAAACATTGTAGAAGAAGAACAGCTGTCTATACGAGACAAATATCAGTAGATGAGAAAAAATATTAATGGAAGGTATCAAGAAAATCTATGAGGTTTTATTTTCAATAGAAATGAGATGATGATCTCTTAAGACTTTGAAGTAAATAACTGTTACCTCTCATAAGGTAACACCAGTTTTGAATGAACCTTGTAATGAAGTATAAGCGATGAAAATTTTGTATTAAAAAGCTTTCACAGTCATTGGATTGATAACTTTGTTAAGACAAGGTTCTTTCCAAAGGGAGCCATTTTTCTCTTCATGAGCTTACACGAGGTTGTTGTTTAACTTCTACTTCTATTGTTTAACTTTCTTTAATGACATTTCCAAATGTTCTATCCTGCTCTTCTCCTTCTGTTTATTACAAATTAAAGGAAAGAAAATCGTCCGAGCGTTCATACTTCATACCGTCAGTTGCCGCTGATGTTGTCGGATCGGTTTTCACTTCAATAGACGTGGCATTTTTCAGTTGTCTTTCGATTTGATCCAGTGCCCGACGTTTTGTGTTCAGAGCACATAAATTGCAACTATAATAAGGTAATATTTGGTTGGCTTTTTTTTGTTGTAAGTTGCTTTTTATTTAAACTATCATATCTCCACATACTATATTTATACAGTAAGAGCCCCTTTGTAAACAAACCAAACAAATTTTGAGTTCATTATGGGGTTAGTGCTCACGTGCAATCCCGATGTGGACATTTTTGCTTGTGACCTTTTTTAGGCTGATTGAAAATTCCATGATTAGCGCATAACTGGCACATATACTGCTCTTTTGGCATTTTGAATTCCTGAAAATAAAAGTTTGAAATATCGAAAACACTTCTCTTAAGCTTTACCAATAAATTTTAACAAGCTAAGTGAACACCACTCCTGTACTGCCGGCCTGCTGAAAATCACTTGAAAACATGGCTAAACTTTTACAGAAGATGACAGGGTTTATGCGAAACTATCTTTTGGCTACTTGGCCATGGAAATCCAAAAAAAAAAGAAAAAAAGAAACAAGATGTCAAGTCGCTTCCATCAAAAAGTGAAGAAGAGATTTGCACTGTTTCACAGCTAGTAGCTGTATTTTGGTGATTTCACAAGTGGGTAAGAGCAGAATTTAAAAAGAGCTCCGAAGAGTCTGAAGAGCCAATTTGACTGCTGATGTGCTATCAATAACATATAGCTGTTGCCTAGGATACGTAGGAACTCAACTGTACAGTTTCTTATTCTTTACGAATGTGTTGGAAACGGTTCGGTTGATGGTGATGGCAGAATGGAGTGCGGTTGAGGAGGTAAGCGTTCAAGTCGACCGTGAGACGGTGGGCGTAGCCTACCATTGCTGGCCGTCGCCATTCGACCAATCAGCGATCGACGACGCTCGTCAAGATAAACGTGCATCATTTCACGAAATGACAAATCGTATGATGGACGAGATTTGCGTCGTAGCGATCGGTCTGAGATTTACTACCGACTATCGCGCTGTGATGGAAATTTCGAATCGGACGAAAAATCGCGACGACAAACAGCTCGTCGATGAACAACGTACAAACGGACTAAATTCATATCCAGCATTTACACCTCCAGCTTTTAATCTACTTCGTCTAATGTATCTCCACCTCTATTCTGCTTGTGTAAATCACTCAGCCGTGACTCTTCCCAATGCTTCACTGCACTATCACCTCGTTCTAATTGGTGGAAAAACTGTACCTGATAATAAGTGTTATAACCATAATGATGCTGAGATATTTGCAAAACTCCGAACCGCTGGTGTTTATGGTGAGGACTGAACACTCTGCTACCCTTTCTTGGGCCTAGCGCGTTCATCGCCATACCATGTTAGTCTTTCGCTTCGCCTTTCTCTCAGCCCTAGTAAGGGTTATTGTTCGATCTGAGTTTCACAGAGCAATAAATAAAGGTGTTTCTAACTAAGGTAGAAGTGATCCTTTTAAAAGACCTGGTATAACAATTTTTCGTTCAGTCAATATATTTTAGGTCAATAAAACGTTTACCGAATTTTGAAGCTTTAGCAAAGATAACCGACTTTTGCAGAAGAACTTCATTATCCAGGAGGCAGAGTATTTTATGGAATGCAGTTTTTTTTCATAATACAACACTTTTGCTAACAGCATGGTTTGAAGCGGTATTCATTCATTTTTCATCAAAAGACAGCAAAATTACGTAAGACTGTTTTCTTCATGTAAATTTTTGTTTCCTTTGATATCTCCAGCTTTTCCCTTCTTTTTATAGTAGTCGATAATGTTTTTCCTTTCTTAAACAAAAATTTTTTGAAGTAGTGATTTTCTGGGATATTCAAAGGAAGTGCAACGCATCTGATGCATCTGGTACGATGCGTTCTTACCCACAGTACCAAATCGATGTAGTTTCCTTAGCAGACCTGACAACAGCTTTTTTCCAGATTCTCGTTTCGATTACGGTACAGTTTGGTGGAATGAACACATGTGATCTGATCATGATAGTACTTTGGTAGCTTTAATTTTTGTTGCCTTCCTATTCTTCAGTCTGCTATGACAGAAGTTTTTGCTGGTTGTAGTTTTGCGAGGAACGATTCCATCAGACTGATAGTCACCACTTGAAATCGCATTCCTTTGAATCATCGCATAGATGAAACTTCCAACAATATATTTCTTTACGATCAAAAATCGCTTTAAATTTAACTGAATGTATGACAGTGTGGTCCAAATGAAGAAAGTACTAGCATAGAAGAAAAGTCGCTTCCGGCCACCTCGAAGTCGACCATATAGAATGAAGAATAACAGTGCCTAGAGATATCCTGCAGTAGATACATGGCGAATATTTTGTTGTGCTTGTGGATTAACTTACCTACTAGATTCGTCCGGTGTTCCGTTCTTGTGAGCGGATTCCATGCGATGAAGAAGACCCACAATGCAATACTGGACGGCTGTGAACACTGGACTGGAATCATCACTGCTCAGAAGAAAGCGAGGGTGCAAAACGTTGGCTATAATAGGCAATTGTTAAGAATATTGTTTGGGTTTATGAACACAGCAAAATATTAGTTACTAATGCCAAAACTACAAGAAAATCTGTTTTGTAGAAAAGCAGATCATCTCTATTCGGCAACTAACCTGAGGCAAACGAAGCCTACACTGTCACTGCTGCGCTCTCAAACTGCTATCAGACCTGTGTAGAATGAGGGAAACACTGATACGCTACATCAGTAGACCTCTGCAAGTTATTGTATGGGCGAAGCACTTTTGAACCTAATCAATCGTACGGTGCTGAATGTAGTCGAATACATGGCTTATCCCTCACCGATTGATCTACATCCAACGATTTACGCTTTACTGTTTTCAGAGCAGGTCGTCGTTTTTACAGCAACAAGGTAATAATAATATTTTAGAAAATAACTTTCTTTTCCTTTAACATCAGAATGACTAGTCAACACGTACTCTTATTTTTTCAAAAACCTTGTGTTAGCTTGTTATTGACAGAATAAAGTAATAGTGATTGCTTATGACACTATTAAATAGAAAACTAGCTGAGAGAAAGGCGGAACGAAAGACCTGCATGGTGCGGCGGTGAACGCGGTAGGCCTGGAAAGAATAATAGCGTGTACGATTCCCACTGCGGACAACTGCGGTCTGCAGTTTTGCAAACATTTCAGTACCATTTTGGTTGCATTTCACATAATAGTCTGCAATGAAAAATGCGGAGTAAATAAAAGTTTACGTTGAGTAATAGTGCTTTGCTAGCTGGCAACAGTGTCCTCTAGCCAGCAAACTCTTTTTCTGTAAAATATTTTATCACCTATGGAAAATGCCGTTTTCCATCCACTGTTGGTCACATCATACATGCCATACAAAATTGACGCCGATGGCTTATAATGTTTACTGCAAATGCCTTTATTTTCGCGTTAGCCACATTATAGTGATGAACTTTTTAGGCGGCTTTTTGTTAGGCCGTTCCCGAACCTAATTTTCGCCTCTCATACGAAAGTAGGCGCGTGTGGGGTCTATCATGTTGAAGAAGCACGCGTGGCGCAGTGGTCAGAGGCGCTCTGCAACACACACTTGGGATTGATCTCAGCGCCCCTGGCCCACCAAGCTTTCCATTCCACCGAGCTAGTCATTTCGCACCAGACTTCTTTGGGAGGATAGCAGCGCTATCTCGGTACACCGGTAGGCCTCTGTGAGTCATTGTAAAGCTCAGATCTTCATTCAATCATCTCCACACGATGCTTAGTGAAGTCTAATGCAAGGCGCATTCCTCAAGGATTGATCAACACTGAGAGCTACTTCATTTATTCATTTATCTATAAGTGGTGACACCGAAAAATGAGTCAACAAAGTAGGTAACCTAGATGTTCTCATTCTAATCCAGTTTTTGGTGCCTCATGTGTATGGTAATTAAAATGGCGACACAGGAAGAAAAGAGAAACTGCAAAGTAAGGAGCAATTCTTAGTTAACTCTTCAATTGTATTTTATTCCATAAAATTTCTATTGTGATTTCTATTACGGTTTTACTGTGATATAGGTTGATATACGAAGCAGGCACTGTTCCATTAATATTCAGTTCGATCGGGTGTCCTGTGTAGGTTTTTCACCACTCACATAAGGCAACTAATAGAATGAATCCAAACTGACGAATTGACTTCGAATTTCTATTGTTTGTTGTTTTCAGAGTTTCACAGCAAGCTTCAAATAATATAGGTATTGATTGTGACAGTGAATTTTTTTCGTCCTATTTGAGATACGGCAGTTTCCATTTTAAAACATTCAATAATCCTCTGAAAAAGATAGAATAACCGAGTATGACGAATGCACACCAAGGAAGGCAATAGGTTCTTTAAAATAATGTTAACTTCACTGTAATTATGAGTATAAATACTAGTTAAAGGCTTACTTTAAGGAAGCACTATGCTTTCATCAAAATATTCTCAGAACAACAGTTGCTAATACTGTTGCAATGTTATTAATAATAATATTATTAGTTTTAACTTATTATTTACTGCCTATTCTTTTTAACGGCACGGTATATATTGCGAAATATAACTTCAACGATGCTGAGATATTTACAAAACTCCGGACCGCAGGTGTATGCGGTGGGGAACGAGCGCGCTATTGTCCTTCCCGGGGAGTAACGCGTCCACCACCACACCATGCGGATCCTCGGGCTCTCCAGATTAATCCCGCTGACGGGTGATTGCTGATGGCAAAAGATCGATAGAACCAGCTGAGAGACAGGTGAAACGAAGGACCCGCGTGGTGTGGTGGTGAACACGCTACTCCCCGGAAAGGACGATAGCGCGTTCGTTCCCCACCGCATACACCTGCGGTCCAGAGTTTCGCAAATATCTCAGTATTATTGAAGTTATATTTTACAATGTACACCCTGCTGTTAAAAAGAGTAGGCAGTAAATAATAAGTTAAAATTGTGATCCCATCTTCTCTCATCAGGGCCAATAGCAGGGCATTATAATCGCAGGCACCTGGGGTCCGGCGTTTTGCAACTATTATTAGTATTACTATTATTACTCCTCCTCCATGGCGGATCTCGGGACTCCAGGGTACCACAAAGGCTAAGCCAACAAAACTCCGAAAAAATGAAGAATATGCTGGGGCCCGTACGACCAGTGAGACGGGCCATCCAAGTATCCAAGTAAGTATAATCATTACCAGAGTAACGCATTCCATATTGATTTTCTAGAGTAACACCCATTAACATTATGACACTTTTCCTAGTGGAAAAAAACGACTTCGCAAATTTTTTCATAACATGTTTCACACGACTTGTTGCAGTTTTGCATTATTTCAGAGGCTGTTTATAATTTATAATTAGTAGAATCGGCTTTTCTATAAAGGATAAAAGATATAAAACTCTCAGCGTTGATCAATCCTTTTAGAGATGTGTCATGCATTCGACTTCATTAGGCATCGTTTGGAGGTGATTTAATGCATATCTAGCCTTTACAATGACTCGCGGTGGTCTACCGATGTACCGAGCCAGTGCTGATATCCTCCCAAACAAGTATGGTACCAATTCTCCGACCCCAGAGAGATGGAGGGCTTGGTGAGCCATGGGCGCAGGGATCGATTCCACGTGTGCGTTGCAGGGCGCCTGCGACCACTGCGCCACACACACCCTTGGCTTTTTCTATACTCAACGTTATAGGTGCTACTTATTTTCATTAGCAAAAAGTTACTAATAATGTTAAATGATGTTAAAAAACCAATTTCAATCGCTAGCAAGTGTTCTTTTAAAATAAAAATTTTGGGGGATTTTCCCAATGTTGTTTGTGAAACTAAGAGTTAACTGTTCCACGATTCCATGCATTTCGGTTTTTTAGAGGAAAGGAAATAGAAAAAGTTTTCGATGGTGGCAAATTTTGGTTAGCATCATATTTATTCACTAACGTTTACTACGCTAAGAATGGAGTCAGAACTGTATCCCTAACGCATTGATCTGGCACCAAAATGCTTCTACGTTTTATTCACAGGCGCTACTTCGTCTTTAAAATATTTGTTAACCTCTAATCTTAAAAGAGAAAGGCTAAAGGGTTCGACGTTGATCAATTCTTGAAGGTGGCATCACGCACCCGACTCTATTCGTAGCATCATAAATGTGATTCAAGCTTCATATATCGCCCCAAAAAATCAGTTGTGGTAACCTGCCTATTTATCAACTCATTGAACCTCTTTTCCTATACGAGACGTACGAGTTTGCCCTTGCACAGAGGATAGAGGGCCAAATCAGTCCGAGGCGAGGGATCGAACCAGTAATCGATATGTATTGTAGGGCACCTCTCACCATTGCGCCACGCAAGCTCTGATTTCAAATCCTGTGTTGGAATAATCGGTACTTTGCTAATTAAACAAAAAATTATAATATTCAACATGACAAGAAAAGTTGCACAGTGGTTTTAAAAACCAGTGATTCTATTTTATTTCGTCTGCGGGTCAACATGCAACTCACTTTTACGTGACATTTCTCTCGTATCGTTTCAATATCATCCTTCTTTTTTCTCATTTTTTCCACTTTTTTTGGTCCATCCACTCTCCACGACGACTGTTCAGCGATAAATTTCCTAACAATTTGCAATTTTTCTTTCATGCGCTATCGACACTGTCTCCTCCCACAGGCCATCAACCCATCGACTGACACGCGTTTTTTTTTCATACGTAGTTTTTCTTTTTTTTTGCGAGATCGGCAATAAAACCCAGAAAACGGTCTCTAGGGTGTCGTATGACGCGACGAAAGTGAATTAGCTAGTAATTGAACAAGTAGATAGGGTTTCACTATACCGGCTTTGATTTTAGCTGAGTGTTTGCATCAGATTTTTACAAAAGTATGATTAAGTGAAATCATGCTGAAAAACAGATGAACGCAATGAAAACGACCAGTGTAGAATGTTTGTTTCTCTCCGAATCATTAAGAATTAGAATAGCTAGAAGGCTTTGCTATTACTTGCTAGTTAAAAAGCTGTGATTCAGTGATCTTGCAAAAAG